AAGTTTGCCCTTCTGCGTGCGCCCTCGTTGGCTCACACGACCGTCGACGTCGGCCAATACGCTCTTTTTGTGTGAACAAGTTTATAAGCTTTTTTAAGGCTAACTGAATTTAAGAGATGTATGCATTAAACAATATTTTTGAAAAAAAATATCAAACAATATGTTTTACAATATTTGACGCAGTTTAGCAAGGTCTTTACCCTGACCTGACCATACTTTTAAATTTAGTTATTACAGAAGTTAATTATTCATACTTTTTGACACCGTATTTATTTGAACGTCAAACTTTATGAATTTTCATATTAAACAAAATTAGCTTTTTATGTGCAACGTGTAGTTTTTGAGCAATGATTTAGCCGGCGTTTCATGACGCAGCCTGTATGATATAGCCATGGACCTGTAGATCCTGGCAAACGGACAGCCTCAGCTCTTCTGCCTGGTGGAGTCAAAATTTACTGTTTTGTTTCCACTCTTCAAACTGCAACCAAAGCTATGGGGTCTATCCATATGACGTCAGACCGCTTTTTAATGTCGAGTAACTACAAAAAGGCATGGCCGCCGGAAGCAAACGCGGTTTTAATTGGCGAATTTCTTTTGCTTTCTTTTGTTTTTCCGGAGAGCATATGAATAAACGTTATGTTAGCGGCCATGTTTGTGGCCGATGACTCAGCATCTGAATTGACTCTAACGTCCAGCAAGCTACTTTCTAAGAAAACAGATGTTTGATAAATTTTAGAACGTATTTATTATACAACACATGTTCTCCCTCCCTTATTCTCTTATAATAAAATGATGAAAATTCTTAATCGCAGCAGCATCATGCCTTTGGACGTGCCGCAGAGACCCGTTTTGTGGCACGAAACTCCGGCTGACTGCAACACACTTGGCTCGGATAGCGCACCTTCCACTGCGGCGGGTCCTAGTTCGCCAAGTGTGTCAAGTGAAAGCGACGATCACGCTTCCACCAATGTTTCAGCAAGTGACAAAAGTTTTCATATGCTTTTCAATTTTATCGTTTGAATGTGGTCTGTATTACAACAAAGCACCCCTGTATCTTCAGCTGTGCATCCAATTTAAACAAATAAATGGATTGTTTACGTGCGGACCTACTGTTCTTTTAAATCTTTAGAAACCATCGGCCTTGCCCGTGAAACAATTCCTGTATATTTACTTTCCTCTAGAGCACTCGGGAAGTTAATTTCTAAAGTATACACATCGAGCTTGGCAATGTTTTTCCAATATATTTTGCGACTCAAAAATAAAGTTGCGACGTGACTATGTGCATGACGTCTCACAAGAAAATGTCAGGCTCAGTGCCACCTCATAGCTTTATATTTACGGTATAAATTTCCTGTACTTCTCAATTTCCTGACTTTCTTCGTGGATCATCGTCCTGGATACTCCGAGATACTCTGCGGGGGACTGGACGACAGGACATTTTTATGACCAGCAGAAAACGCGCCACCTGGAAGACGGGCCAGCTAAAAAAACGGGCCGGCAAGATCCAACTTGTCAAGGCAAATTTTGGGGCCACCTAAAAAAGTCAAAACCGTTTACAACTCCCTGTAACGCCGAATTAGAGCGCAGCTCTTGAGGAGGAGGAGGGAAGGGTGTTGAGGGGAGAGTAGACCCCTCCTCTTCCTCCTTCTACTCGTCCTCCCCTCATTCTTCAATCTCCTCCGGGGGCCAGGGGGGTCACGTGACCTCGGGGGGGGGGGGGTCACGTGACCGTGGGGGCAGTCACGTGTCCCTGGGGGGAGGGATCACGTGAACTGGAAAGGGGGGGCCACCTGACCCTGGGGGAGGCGTCACGTGACCCTGGGGGAAAGGGTCATGTGACCTCAGGGGGGGGCGGCACGTGACCTGGGGGCTCACGTGACCTCGGCGGGGGTCACATGGTCACGTGACCTTCGGTGTCACATGACCTCGCGGTTACGCCAACGCCGCTCAAGACGGAAACGGGCCCCTAAGAGCTGGGCTCTAAAAGGGACGGAACACAGGCTGGCAAGTTTAGGTGGCCTTAAAATTTGCCGTGACAAGTTGGATCTCATTTGTCACGGCTATAGGTGGCTCCCTAGGTGGCCCCAGATTCAGAGTGTACAGGTCCCGTCAAAGTAAAACGGAGCGCCGGAGCGGCAACCGAACTGCACCGCCGCGCTATCTAGCAGCGCCGGCTGCACCTGATAGGTGCCGTCTGCGCATGCGTGTGTGCCGTTCGCTGTGTCCTCCGCCTTTCTTGTTTGATCCTCGCATTATCGGCGTCTCGAGCTGCCAAACGCTGTTCCGATAAACACCGCTAGGTGTTCGGCTCGGGCCAGTGCGGTGAGATAACACTGAAGGCAAGTAAGAGAGAGGGGCGAGTATTGTCGATGAGCACCGCGTCGACAACACTCGCACCTCTCTCAGGCGTCGATTTTAGGAAGAGCTTTGCGCCGCTCAAACCATTGATAACGTGTGGGTGGGAAGAGGAAAACGGAGGCCCCATTGGAAGGCACGCCCGTATGCGAAGATGTGGCCTTTCAGTTCCAGCCGGCGCTGCTAGATAGCGCGGCGATGCAGTTCGGTCGCCGATCCGGCGCTCCGTTTTGCTTCGAAGGGGACCTGTACGTGTAGGAGATCTGTCCCAAAGGACTATTAAGGAGCGTTTATACCTCATTGTCTATCCTGCGTCCTTCCCTCGCAATTATCTTGGCAACGTACGCCTTGTTGACTCTCGAGAAAATGATTATTTTCTGTTTGCGTCATATAAGCAAGTTAAGGGTGGAAGCACTTAAACGCGGACCACTAGCGAAAGAACCGGGAAGTGCGACGTTTGCGAAAGATGCGGTTCGACCTTGAATTATAGGAGGAAACAGGGATATAACCTGAAATCGGAAGGGAAAGTTTCACTTCCGTATGCGCACCCTTTCACGTAAAACGGGCTCCGGGTTTTGGCACGAGGTGTGTAACCTGTTCAGGTTTAAGCTGAAAGAGCGGAGAAGACTACAAGCGCGGAGTTGGCGTGCACAACTTGCCTTGAATCGTGCGTTCCTAGAGTGAAGGGTTATTCGATTATGTAAACTTACAGACGCAATATCGTGCCTGCAGCTTCCCCCGTACTGTCAACTCACACACTCTCAAGAAAAAAAATGGGGTGTAGACGTCACACCCCTTGTCCCATACACGACATCCCAAAACTTCTGTTCGACGTATAGCGCAGGGACGTTGAACAGACAGCCCCAACTTCAGGAGGGGCTTGAGAACGGCGATATATACCTCATGAAACAGCTAAAATACGTATCAAAGACTACAGAAAAAAAGAAAAACACTGAAGTTTTTTAGTGTGGCCAAGAAAACCCCGATTACTTTTTTGTAGTCAGTAACACGCACATTAGCTATTCTAATGAGTTGTACAACTCGGCTATCAAGCCGGTCGTGAAAGTTGGTACCGTCGGTTCCACATCAGCGCGCTAAACGCCGAACTGGAGTTTTGGGGTGTCGTATTTCGGACAGAGGGTACAAGAATATACCCTTTTTTTTTTTTCTGAGAGCGCAGGATTCCAAATCTCCGAAGGAAAAAGTGTTTTTTTTCTTTCTTTTTTGTAGGTACCACGGTAGGAAACGTATGGAACAAAAACATTTTCCAAAAATATGATAGCCCTATATTTACCTCGCCAAAGACGTTTCTAGTTAAGACTTAAGACTTAAAGGATCATCAATATTGATACTTCGAAGCACAAAGAGGAGTAGTGTCTTTAAGTTTTTCTACGGCTGATATATAATAACGTTAAGTCCCTAGAGCACACAAAGCATAAACTAATTTTCAGAGAAAAAATTCCGCATTGTTCACGACGCGAGGCTAATAGTCATTTAGGAGCGATTACGATATATTACTTTATTTCGAGAGGTCGATTTTAAAAGAGAAGCGCGTTTCGCGATCGCTGATATCAGTCTTGCGACGTAAATGTTCCACTAAGATATTTCTAGAATCATATGGCGCTGAATATTCTTTTGAAAAACAAGCGGCTTTGGATATACCTCACAAAAAAATACACAGATGTGTTTTGTTATTCTATAAAAATTATGACACAGTTCTTAATTTCTTCGGTAAATGGCAGGCCTATGAATATTCTTCTAGAAAACGAAAGATTTTAATATGCGTCCCTTAAATTATCTGACCAAGAATTTCGACGCAGCTTTCAATATTTATCAAGTACATGGCAGACATTAAATATACGCCCAGTAAGTAACAGATCTCAAGTTTTGTTTTAAACGGCAAATTTTTGTTTATTCAGCAAGTAAATGGCATATTATATTATTCTACCAGTAAACGCAACGGCACTGAATAACCCTCCAGATAATGACCCCAGCTATGAGTATTTCTTTATTAAATGACACGGCTATGATTATTCCTTTGGTAAATCTCACAGCTCTAAATAACCCCCAATAAATTGTATAGTTCCAAATATTCCTCCAGTAGGTGGCAAGGTTTTCAATACTCCACTATTAAACGACGGGGCTTTGAATATTCATCAAGTAGCTAAAAAAGCTCGAAATAATCCTGCAGTAAATGACACATTCATTAATATTCCTCTTCACTATAACACTAATCTCAATATCCCTTCAATCAATGACACAGCCCTGAATATTCCTCCAGTAGGATCCATCCGTGGGCGTGCCTCCAGCGACCGCTGGTCTGCACACTCGGTCAGTAGATTTTCCGGGTGATTTTGCGTCGTGTAAGGATGAATAATTCCATGGTGAGAAATGAAATAGAACCCTGTTATAGGATTTTAATAGGGCTCTCATTCATTATTGAGCGGTAAGTTTTCCCTGAAAAACAGCTGCTTCAGCGCAGTCTTATATATTACTACGCGCCTGAACAGAATAACCTTCCACTCGACCCATTATATCTTGCTGCGATAACTAGTTTCAAACGTTACGGGGAAGAGGAGAATCCGTTTTCATCAACTTTCAGACACCCTTGGCACAGCAGCGCTCGGGGGTTCTTTGAGCCTTGCCTGTGATCAGCACAGCTTTGCCGTCCCCACTGATGAGCTTGACGAACACCTGCCGCCGTAGAATCCAGACCGCCCAGTAGCTGATGTGCGTGACCAGAACCAAGAGTCCGAGGATTTGAGCGCACAGTATCAACGGCGGCACCCTGGCACACACCAGCCACAGCGGCCCCGTCAGCAGGAGAAACAGGTGAGCCGTCGCAATCTTCATCGTCCGCATCTCGATTGAAGAAAAAACTAGGCGGCGTAACACTATATCTGCATGAGGCCGCTATGAGGGAAAGACAGCTTGTAGTTAGGCTCATCGTATTCGTTCTCCTGCCTCTCGTACTTTTATATTTTTTTTATTTTCGACTTTTTTTTTAGGTCTACGGGCTTGTTTTGAATAACAAGGAAGAGCTACGAAGGGGCGGGTTTGACGGTGCCATTTTTGAAGCAATCTAGGTTATCTAATGAGCAATAAAGAGAGAGAAATCTAGATTGCATTTTAATGATTCGCGTTTGAGACGAAAGACAATAGAAGAGGAGAGAGAGTTGGTGGGAGTGAAGGTAATGCGACTCTTTAGCGTGCGAAAGAGGTCTGGCACCGGTGACCCAGGCGCCAGGGAAGCGCGTGCGCCAAATGGCTCGCAATCGACTGAGCCGGAAAAAACGAATAACATGAAAACTGTGGGTTTCCGTGCTTCTAATGGGGTCTTGGTGTTATATGACTGTTTGGACGTCCGGACAAAGGGGAACAAACACGGTAACAATTAAGACGTTATGTGTAAGAGGTTGACCTTTACACAGCGTGAAAGTAAGTTTGAGTTTTCCAGGCCAGCTGAGTCAGGCTTTCTGCTATGGCGGACTTGATCGGCCACCGCGCTGGGCGTCGGGCCCCGCGTTTCCACCAGACTTGTGAAAAACGCTTTTTTTCGACGTCTACTCCAGCGAGTATTGCTCCTCATTTGAGTTCTGGACAAAGCTAGGCAGGCGTATCCCATTGGGCGATCCAGAGCACAACTAAAACTTGCGTGGAGTTCAGGACATCCGAATATTGTTTACGCTATTTTCGGGAAAGTAGGGCATTTAGAAAACGAAAATAGGAGTGTTGGTTTCCTGACAACCAAATGAAAATATTTTGTTAGCAAATTTGCCAACCCGCAGTTATGTTTAATGCGATAGCATCATTAAGCCAACCCAGGGTTTTCAGCAAGGGTATTTTCTGGCCTCGAGCAGTAATTTCCCGCTAAAGTGTGCGGAAAATTAACGTAGCGTGTCCTATGCACGAATTCAGTTTCCCTGCTAAATTTAGCAGAAAACCGAACACTTGCCCGTTTGTGCACCGATAAATTTTATCGCATTCATATAAAAATCACCCCTGTGGTTTCTACAAATTTGCCTGCACTATCAATATTGTCTTCTTTCTTGTGTACGTCTTTTTTAGCGCTTTTAACCATGGTTCAATTCAGTCAACACCAACTAGCCCAACAACAAGTTCTTTTACTATCAATATTTCTTTTTTATTTTTGGTCATACCCTATTGGAAAATTTCGATGATGGAAAGATGATGGAAAAGGCTCATACAAGCGTAACCGTAATATGGGACATCCTATACAAGCGAAACCTCGGCTCCAGTATAGTGGATTAAGGCGGAATGATACAGGTAGGCGGAACCATACAAGCGTGTCGTATTATGGGACATCCTATACCAGCGTAGTGGATCATGGCGGAACCATGGAGGCGGACGGAACCATACATGCATAACGTAATATGGGACATCCTATACCAGCGAAAAGGCGATACCACCATGGTGGAGCCGTATGGCTCCACCATGCTGGTTTAGCCTTGCCACTGTTGTACAGGGCGATTTAGTTTTAAGCTTTACGTATATGTTTAGAAAGGTCGTGAAAGCTAAATTAATGCGGTTTGTGCAGGCGAGTTATACGGCCAGGTGTACATAGTATAGGGACCTAATCGTAACAATCAGTCAGATAATTAAATACAATTTGTCAATTAACTTTTTAATTAGTGAAAATGAAAATATGGTTTCAATTAGAAACTTGCTGAGTCATTGAAAACCACAAAATCAACTCTTTCTAGAAGGATATAATGCAGGGGTAGCATTTTACGCATTCTGTAAAAACGCTTTATTTGGACGAGTTTCTAGGTTTCAGTTTCTTATCAGAGCTCATATGTCTGCGCGCACAGTCCTGTTCCCCAGGGGCTTAGACGCGCAACACATGTGCGCCTTGCTTCCCTCCATCCTACGAGGGAGGCGAGGGGTCGGCTTCGCACTGCGGCCACCGGGCAGCAGGACCGCAGGTGCAAAGATGCGCTCTGGTAAGAAACCGAAGTCTGGAAACGCGTCCAAATTGACCATAATTTTAGAACGCCATAAAATGCTTCTCTTGTCTTAAATCTTCACAAAGAAAGTTGATTTAGTGTGTTTTGATGACGCTTAGCAAGTTTCTAATTGGAACCATGAACCTATTTTCACTGATTAAAAATTTCAGGAACATACTATACTTAGAGAGAGGCTGAAGCGGTTTTGTATTTGAGAAAACACTTTTAAATCTTCTTCATATGACCTCCAGAATCTCAAATATCAAAATTATTTGGTAATTTTATGAATCGAGGCTGCATAGAGTCATTTTTAAAGCGCTGTGAAAGCACTTCCCTGGAGAGCGACGTCACAAAAGCAGCTTTCGAAATCTTTGCTCACGCATCTTCAGCACCTATCAAAGCTATGCACGCACGTGCTATTTTTTAAAAGGGCAATAAAATGTGTCCCGACTGGTGCCAATGCGAAAGAATATACCTAGAAAACTTGCGATTGGACGCGCGGCCCTTAAGCGACAAACGCTTCGCGGCCGAAAGGTCTTCTTACGATGTCACTATTGGTAGGAGGTTTTTTTTTGTGTTTTCTCACGTTTAGTTATATCTTTGTGGAAAACGAATGGGATATTTAGGTTTGCGGGATAAAACTACGCTAGAATGAACCTCCATCTAGTTTTCTGAAAGAAGTCTGGCACATCTCTGTAATAACCCGACTGAACATTACAAATTAGTCTTTTATACTATGCCGCCCTGGCCATGCAACTCACGTGCACAGACCGCGTAAATGTAGCTTTTATGGCTTTTTTAAAGTCTGTAAAACATACAAAAAAACACTCTCTAGAATGTCCCCCAATACGATACAATTGTATGGTTCCTTTCCCGCTTGCATTGTTCAAGACTTGTGGACATCCAGCGTTTCATTGGAATGCTGGATGTCAGCGAGTCTACATTATTGAGTGGTTTCAAACAAACATGATGTTTGCACACCAGTAAGCTCTTATCCAAGGCTCACCAGGAGCACTAAGAGCAGAGGCAAAATGTCGTGACCTGGTAAATTTGGTTGCAGGTATTTATTTTTAGAAGAACTGCAAGCAGCAAAGCTTAACTTTGCTCAAAAGAAGATAATTAAAAATTCAATACTGAACAATGGTGTCCCTTGAGCTGTCAGACCAAACTCCCACTCTTGCCATTCAGGAGTTCCTAACTTGTGCGTAGAGGATCAGCACAACCCAGATTTGTGCTGCAAGCGCACCTGCAATATAAAAGTTGAATAAACATGAGATGAAATATGAGACGTTTAGAATACTCTGTAATGTGAAATTAGAGCACAGATCTTGAAGAGGAGTATGGGAGGGTATGCCCCTCCTCCCCCTCCCCTACTACTCTTCGGCCCCCTCCCATTTCGCGGGAAATTTCCCTGAATTTAGCGGGAAAATGTGCCCACTAAATTTAGCGGGTTAAGTTTTCCACTAAATTTAGCGCGGAAACCCCTCCCAGTTTCAGCATGAATGCAAAAATATATGCAGACTAGACCTTGTCCTCAACACAAATGCAGTTTTTCTGCTAAAAGTAGCGGGGAAAATGACGTCGCATGACCGTGTCATGTCATCCATAAAAAATTCAGTTTCTCAGCTAGACTTAGCGGAAATATTAACGTCACATGACCGCAACATTAATTCAATTTCCTGCCAAGTTTAGTTGGGCGGTTACGCCGACAGCGACGCCGCAAAACGCGGAAACGGGCGCTAAGAGCTGCGCTAAAAAAACTAAATGCATCAGGTGAAATAAAGTGAAAATTAGAGAAGAAAAAGAAAAGAGAATCTAAGATCAGGTTCTCAGATCCTTTCTTTTGTCCGTTCTCAAATGTTTTCATTTCAAGAAATGTTTATATCTTTATTCATACCCAGTGAACCCCTCCCAGTTTCAGCATGAATGCAATAAATCAATGCAGACTAGACCTTGTAAACTATAATGCACATGAAAATGAATGTTCGCCACATAGTCATGTATGAGCCGGTGGCTCAGATCTCTAAATACATTTGTATTGAGGAACATTCTTGAATAAAACTTCTAGGCTTCGAATTCGACTGTTTGTATTTCCATAAAGAACACCGTATGGCACTGATTTTTTTTGTGACACATCAGAAACAGCACAGCAGTGTCATCCTTGCCAACCTAACAAGAATTTGTATTTTTTTTTTTTTTTTTAGCATGGCATGTGCTATTCTAATGCTTATACAGCCTCCTTTAACAAAATTTCCTTTGTAGAGCTTTCTATTGGTTCTTATTTAACTCGCACGACAGATTCGGTACGTACTCGCCATCAACAGTTTTATATATTAATGTAATAGGGAAAGACAAGATGTATGGTCTTGAGTACGGCTCAACAAGCACAGATGTTGAGAAAAGTACTGAAGAAAACCCAAACGTCAAAATAAAAATAAGCTGGAATGTGGATACAATTAAGGACATGGTCATAAATACACTAGCAGATTCAATATGAAGAATACGTGTTAGACGCACACTCAAAGAAACCTGCTGCATCTATATTCATTCAAATTATTTCGCAGAACCCAGCGCTGCAGTCTCGGGTGCGAGTTCGCTGAGTGAGTCCACTGAAAATGAGTTATTCATTCAAATTATTTCGCAGAACCCAGCGCTGCAGTCTCGGGTGCGAGTTCGCTGAGTGAGTCCACTGAAAATGAGTGCAGACGGAAAAGGCAGTTTGATCTGCGAAAATGAGCACTACATAGGCAAGTGACATGTCATTGTTACTGTTACAGTGCCGAATGTTTCAAACTGCCAGTCCCATCATTCTGCGAGTTCCATCCATATATTACAGGGTTTGGCTCTCTCGAATGCTTGGCGAGAAAAATGATGAACTGGAAATGTCTAGCGTAG